TTCAGTTGCCTTCTATACATGCCTGGACTGGTGATCGAACTTGCAACTCAGGTATGTGCCCTGACTAGGAATTGAACCCACAATCTTTCAGTGCACAGGACGACGCTCGACTAACAGCCTCTCCAGCCAGACAAGGATTAGAAATATGAAGTAATTTGTCCAAGTTTCTATTGCTAGTAAGAGAGGAAAGGGGGACTACATAAAGGCCAACTGATGGAGAATCACCTTCTGAATCACTAAACTATATTGTCTACCAAGATTTGCAATTTCACATCAGCTGTAGGAGAAGTATGCAGATTGCCCTGTTTCTGTGTGGATGGTGGCATGGAGCCTCTGAGTAACTGACACCTTGTTTTTCTGCCTGTAGGCCCCTGGGGACGGTGTACAGGAGACTGTGGGCCTGGAGGAGTCCAGACTCGGGCACTGTGGTGCTTCCACTTCGAAGGTTGGACAAGTCACCTGTCCAGCTGCGATGAGAACCACAGGCCTCCAAAGGAGAGAAGCTGCTTCCGAGTCTGCGACTGGCACAGCGACCTCTTCCAGTGGGAGGTCTCTGACTGGCACCGCTGTGTGCTGGCCCCCGGCGTCCTGGGCCAGGCCAAGCCTCGGACCTCCCAGTGCGTGACGGCCCAGCACGGGCTGCAGCACCGGACTGTGCGCTGTGTTCAGAAGCTGAACAGGACCATGGTCGCCAGCGAAATATGTGAGCACTTGGCCCCTCAGCCCCCCACAGAGCAAGCTTGCCTCATCCCTTGCCCGCGGGATTGTGTGGTATCCGAGTTCTCACAATGGTCCAAGTGTAGCACGGGGTGCGGGAAGCGGCTGCAGCACCGGACCCGCGTGGCCATCGCTCCCCCTCTCTACGGAGGGTCTCACTGTCCCAATCTGACGGAGACGAGAATCTGTGCCGCCCCCATTTCCTGTCCTCTCGGCGAAGAGGAATATACTTTTAGCCTTAAAGTTGGCCCGTGGAGTAAATGTAGACTGCCTCAGCTGAAGGACATGGACCTCCCCGGAAGGACTGTTGTGGATTTTAGCTCTGATTCAAAGGAGCAAGTCACCTTGAGGTACCCAAGTTACAAGCCACATCACCACGCCAAGCCCTGGGACGTAGAGATAGGTTACCAAACCCGGCAGGTGTGGTGTACGAGGAGTGATGGGAAAAATGCCATGATCAGGTAGGAGGCCTTCCGTGTTCACATTTTTGACTCACCTAAATACCGGACAGTGTAATTTTATAAGGTTTCTTTCTGATTTTCTGCAAAAGGACAATTGTAAGCAGGTTTGGGATTTGGGTGTTTAGAAGTTTTATTTGAGAAGTCTTCAATTTTAATTCTAAATATACCAGGCAATGCTCTGAATTCTTGCGTAATTGGTAGTGGAACTATATTGGGTGGCATCTATTTCCACACTTTATCAAATATCAACCAATTAAACAAGTCTTTTATCACTATAATAATAATAGATATTATAAATATTCAAGTTCACTCAAATTGGTGATAGTCATTTAAATGATCATTTTTCATAATTTTTTGTACACTTCTTTTATTCTTGCTTTAGTTTTGTTTTCATGATTAAGAAAGATTTTTTTACATCTGAGATGTAGATTTTTTTATAATAGAACTAATATTAATATGTTAATCTAAGACTGCTTTTTTGGTGTTGATATGATAAAAATATTAACTTGAACAGCAAATAATTAGAATTACAACCTCTACAGGGTATGAACTAAAACTTAAAAGCCATTGTTTAGGTTTCAAGATTATTTGTAATTGTTTTATTTTAAATTGTAGTATAAAACATTGTGACATTAAACCCAGCGAACTATGTTAAAGTAATATTTGTTTAATTTTCCCCCAGAAGGTCTTAAATGAAAACACTGGTATATTGCCAAGTTTCTTCCAAATTAAGGTGCTTTTCAATAGTATTTAAATTACCAAACAATGAAACACTCATCTTTAAAATTACTCATTATCACTCGCTACTGTTTTCTGGGTATCCACAGCTGGCTGGGAGAGGTTCAGAAGGCTACCTCTGCTATTCAAGAACAAAGAAATGTGATGATTTTTTTTTCATTTGACTTTAAAAATGAGCATATTTTATCTTGGGTGCTTCATTCTGATTTATGCTGTATACAATTTGCAAGTCCATTGAAGAGTGATTTTCTGCCTTTTACTATTGCTTCTCTCTCTGTGAAGCCCAAAAGATTAAGTAGATGATTTGGGTGATTATTATTTGAATATGTATGTGTAATTCTGTAATAACATTGTTTTCTTAATATTCTACATTGGATTATTACATAGAATGTTTTCATCTTTAGTTTGCTTGTTTTTACCAAGTTCTTTAAAAATATTAATAGATTTTATTTTGAGAGCAGTTTCAGTTTTATATTTACAGAGGATTTGAGTGGAAAATACAGAGTTCTCATATGCCTTCTCATCACTCCCCTTCCACACATACACTGTTTCACACACATATCTTGCCCTGGTGTAGTATATTTGTTACAATGGATGAGCCATTATTGATACATTACTATAGCAAGAGTACATTAGAGTTCTATGGGCTTATACCAATGTATAATGACGTGCATCCATCATTGCTATATCATAGAAAATAGTGTCACTTCCATAAAAATCTGTAATCCATCTGCTGATCTAATACTTCTTCTCTTTGAACCCCTGCTAACCAATGATCTCTTATTGTCTCCATATTTTGCCTTTTCCCAGAATGTCATAGTGTTGGACTGAGGTACTGTATGGCCTTTTCTGTTTAGCTTTGTTCACTTGGCAATATACAGTTAAGGGTCCTCCATGTCTATTCATGGCTTGAGAGCTCGGTTGTTTTTATCACTGAGTATTCCGTTGTCCGAGTGTATCACACTTTTTTATCTATTCACCTATTGAAGGACATATCCGTTGCTTCCAAGTTCCCGCACTTATGTATAACCTGCTATAAACAGTCATGTGAGATTTTTATGTGGCCATGTGTTTTCAGTGCACATGGGTAAATGTCAATGAACACAATTCATGGATATTATAGTAAGAGTATGTGTAGTTTCTACAAAATTTCCGAACTGTCTGTCAAAATGGCTGTATAATTTTTTATCCCCAATAACAATGAATGAGAATCCAATTGCTTCACGTACTGGCAGGACTTGGTGTTCTCAGTGCTTTGGGTTTTAGTCATTTTAATCGGTATATAATGGTATCTTGCTTTAATTTTCCATTCCTTAATGATATCTAATGTGGAGCATCTTTTCATATGCTTATTTGCCATCTGTGTATCTTCCTTGGTGAGATATCTGTTTAGATCTCTTATCTATTTATTGATTTGTAGGTTTTTTTCTTTTGGTTGAGTTTTAAGAATTGTTTTATTTTCTGTTTTATCAGATATGTCTTTCAAAAATATCTTTCAGCCCTGGCCAGTGTGGCTCAGTTGGTTAGGCATCATCTCATGCATGTAAAGGTTGCAAGTTTGAGTCCTGATCAGGGCACATGCCCAGGTTTCAGGCTTGATCCCCAGTAGGGGGCATGCAGAAGGCAACTGATGAGAATGTTTGTTCTCATATGATGCTTCTCTGTTTCCCTATCCTTTCCTCTCGCTAAAAGTCAATTATAGTGCAGTTTGTGACCTGTCTTCTTATTCTCTTAACAATGTCTTTCACAAAGAAATTTTTTGTTTGTTTGTTTTTTACCTTAATGAAGTTTAGTTTATCATTATTTCTGTTATGGATCATTCTTTGGTGTTAAATCTAAAAAATAAATAAATAAAAAATCACCATACCCAAGGTCAACTATAATTTTTCTAATGTTACCTTCTACAGGTTTTATAGTTTTGCATTTTACATTTAGGTTTATGATCTATTTTGAGTGAATTTTTGTGACAGGTGTAAGGTCTGTGTCTTGATTTACTATTTTTTTGGTTGTTCTATCACCATGTATTAAAAAGATTATCCTTGCCCTGACCGGTTTGGCTCACTGGATAGAGCGTCAGCCTGCGAACTTAAGGGTCCTGGGTTCAATTCCGGTCAAGGGCATGTACCTTGGTTGCAGGCACATCCCCAGTGGGGGGTGTGTAGGAGGCAGCTGATCAATGTTTCTCTCACATCGATGTTTTTGGCTCTCTATCCCTCTCCATTTCTCTCTGTAAAAAACCAGTAAAATATATATTTTTAAAAAAGATTATCCTTTCTCCACTGCATTGCCTTGTTCCTTTGTCAAAGATCAGTTGACTCTATTTGTGTGTATTTATTTCTGAGCTGTCTTTATTGCATTGATCCCTTTACACACTAATAACACACTGTCTTTAATACTAAAGATTTATTGTAAGTCCTGAAGTTGGGTAGTCCTGAATTAGTTTTGTGTTGATTGACTCTTCTGGATCTTTTCTCTTTTCATATACATTTTAGAAGCATTTGGTCCATAACCACACAACCACACATTTATTCATAATTTTCTTGAAATGTATAGATTAATTTGGGAAGAACTAACATCTTTATAATATTTAATCTTCCTATTTATTTTCATGGGTTATCTCTCCATTTATTTAAATTTTCTTTGATTTCTTTGACCAGAGTTTTGTACTTTTTCTCATATAGACCTTGTACATATTTTATTAGATTGACACTTAAGCATTTCAAATATTTTTGGTGCTAATACAAATGTATTGAGTTTTTAATTTCAAATTCTATGTTTTCATTGTTGGTACACAAGATAGCAATTGTCTTTTGTATGTTAATCTTGTATCCTATAACTTTGTTATAATTGCTTATTAGTTTCAAGAGGCTTTTTGTTATTGTTGATTCTTTGGAATTATCTGTATAGATAACTATATCATTTGCAAATATTTCTTTCTTTTCTATTTATATACCTTTTATTTCCTATTCCTGTTTTATTGCATTATCTAGGACTTCTCTTATCATCTAAAATAGGAGTGGTAAGAAGGAACATCCGTGCCTTGTTCCTGATCTTAGCAGGGAAGCATCTGGTTTCCCACCACTAAATATAATGTGAACTGTAGGGTTTTTATAGATGTTCTTTATCCATTTGAAGAAATCACCCTCTATTCCTAGTTTGCTGAGAATTTTTATCATGCGTAGGTCTTAGGCTTTGTCAAATGCTTTTTTTTCTCCATATATAGATCAGATTTATTAATGTTCTTTTTAAAAATGTACTTTTATTGATTTCAGAAAGGAAAGGAAGGGAGAGGGAGAGAGATAGAAACATCAATGATAAGAGAGCATCATTGATTGGCTGCCTTCTGAATGCCCCAGTTCGGGAGTCGAGCCTGCAGCCCAGGCATGTGCCCTGACCGAAACTTGAATAGTAACCTCCTGGTTCATAGGTTGATGCTCAACCACCGAGCCATGCTGGGTGGCTATTAATATCCTTGATTACATTATTGATTTTTGAATGTTGAACAAGCTTTGCACACCTGAAATAAATCACCCTCGCTTGAGGTGTATAATATTTGTAATGTAGTGTTGGATATTATTTGCTAATGTTTTGTTGACCCTTTTTACATACATACTCATGACAGATATCAGTCTTAATTTTCCATTCTTGTAATGGCTTTCTTCAGTATTGGTATTAAGGTAATGCTTACCTCACAGAATGAATTGGGACATATGTCCTCTGCTTTTTTTTTCCAAAATAAATTATAGAGAATTGCTATATTTTTTTTTCCTTGAATGTTAGATGGAATTTGACATTGAACTCATCTGGTCCTGGTGTTTTATGTTTTGACAGGTTATTAATTATTGATTTAATTACTTTAATAGCTATATATCTGCCAGGGCAGGTCTGCCCTGACATGTATGGCTCAGTAATTAAGGATTGTCCCATGCATGAAAGGTCACCTGTTCGATTTTGGTCAGAGCACATGCCTGGGTTCCTGGCTTGATCCGCAGTATGGGTCGTGCAGGAGGCAGCTGATCATTATTTTTTCTCTCTTGCTAAAAATCAATAGCATACATATTTAAAAATAGATATAGATCTATTCAGATTATAAATTTCTCCTTGTGTGAGTTTTAGCTGTGTGTGTTGTTTCAGGAATTAATTCATTCACCTAAGTTATCAAATTTGTGGTCATAGACTTATGTTTTTGAATGTTTATAATATTCCTATATGATACATTTAATGTCCATGAGGTCATTAGTGATGACCCCTCTTTAATTACT